CAGCTAGAAGTCAATGTTTTGAGGACAAAAATGGTGCCTAAAGCATGCAATTTCAAGTTTTTAAGAACAAATACAAAGTCTGAAGGATTAAACATATTCAACCTTAATCTTGCATGCAAAAGTGTCTCGAAATACCAACTTTGCGAAGAATTACATAGCCTTAACCCCGCATGTAGGACGAAGTGAAGAATTTTATTCAGAATAGACACTTTAATTATGCACTATAATTTTTTTTCCTCCTAACCAATCATACTATATAATATTTTTATATTTATTATATCATATTTGATACATAAAGTCTATTTAATATAAAAAATGACAAAAAAAATGTATAATGTATATGTATAAAAAAATTACCAATTATCACAATTGTAAAAAAAATTGATCTAATTGTCATTTTTGTAATTAAAAAATATCAATTATTCACTAATAACCCATTAAATTTATTCAATAAATGATGTTCTAAACATTATCACTGAAATATTAGCATAGTGAAACTATTAAACTAAAATTTAAGAGGTAAACATAGTAAAAAAAATTGAAAATCGATTGACACATAGTAAAGAGTATAATCAATACTCGAATAAAAATAGAGATGATTTCTCATAAAAAGAAAGTTAAATGAATGCCAATTGCAATGACTTTCGCTTCTAAAAATTTATAAATAATAAAATTAAGGTCATTTGGAGAAAGTTTTAATACAATAAAAAAAAAACTAAACAATTGAAATAAAACAATTATAGGGTGGGCACAAGTAAAAAATATACATATAATTTTTAAAATATATAAATATGAATAAAATTTGAGTCGCCTCTATGTAGCTTCACCCATCCCCTCATGCAAAATAATACTACTATCATGATCAAGATTTTTTACTAAAATTTTCATTTCAAATGATATGACACAGTTTTCACCGTCAATTAAGTGGGTCTCATTTATATTTAATGATAGAGATTGTGACACATCACTTGCGATAACAAACTTGATAAAAAAGTTGGTAGACATAAAATTATTGAAATTTAATTATGCCAATAAGACAACCAAAAATCAAGGTAAATGTTATCCAGCCCATAGAATAGGACTGAATTACCAAATAACTCCCCATATGGAAGAATCCAATAAGACTGGGCCGTAAAGCCCCTTGGTGTGATGTAGAGTGTGCCCGTAAGCAATTTTTTTGGATACGGATCCTTCTCTTTCAATAATAACGTACAATGATTTCTTATTTTTGCTTCATCTTGTTATAGAAAAGGACCATGTGTACCGGGTCCTATTTTAACCTTGCAATTAGAGGGAATTGTCGTATGCCCTTCAATTGAAGAAGGAAGAGACGTTTTTACGACTCTTATGATATCTATGGCTCAAAAAAGTATTTTTGGTACCGTACCAAATTTATCACGAATTAAGGATTGATTTTACGACTTAATATGATAATCGGTAAGATTATATCAAACTGAGAATGTTTAATACTTGCAGTGTCTAGCTTATACTTTGAAGTTGCGATTGTGTGGCAAGCATGCCTCCTAGCTTATACCCTGCATCTCTAGCAGGCCACTGTCGTGAGTGATAACATTGAGGTGATCTAGCTAAACTCAACTGAAGGAGTTTTCCCTGGGAAGTCAACTCTTTTTTTGAGGACATCCTGGATATTGCAAGACAACTTAACTTAAAATTTATATACAAGTTTAGAGCCTATAATAAGACTTACGCTCACTAGGTGGCAAGTATCTGTTTGCTCCCATACTCTACCACTTAGTTGGGTCAACTATCCACCACTAGAGCTTAAGACTTTTTTTTTTCTCCTGATTGTAATTGCTTATTTCCAACTTCAATGAAAATGGAAGCTTACTTGTTCTAAAAAAAAAAAAAAAAAAAACTGAGATTGTTTGAAATTCATCCAATTTTAGAATTGGGTATAATTTTCTTTTTTTGTTATATTCCTTATCATACTTCTTGAATCTTGTAGCTCGTTCGTCATTGAAATCCTACCCTAACTATTTCTTATTGATAATTGCTTTGGGTAACTGCAAGGTAAACCTCTTGGATCCTCTACTTGAAATTAAAGAATGGTTGCAATTCCACTAAGTGCTATAAATAGAGTTCACAGTGAATCTGAAATGTCAAAATTTAATCAAACTTACACACTATCTATTTGTTGTTGCGTGCAATCAAGTTTTTGTAATGTCAAACTCTAGTCATGTATAAATTTTTTTGTTAGATTATTACATAGGAGAGGGAGTAGGGGTGTAACTTGGACGGGTCAACCAGAATTAATCCTGAGCCCAACTCAAAAAAAATAAGGCTTGGATTAGGATTTTTAATACTTGGGTTAGGGCTTGGGCAAAAAAACCTCGATCTGGAATTTGGGTAAGCTTTGGATTGAGGACTCGGGTTGTTGGATCGAGGACTTGGGTTGTTCGATTAAAATCGGGTTGCACTATATTATTAAGTCGGGTTGAACCCGAATATACATAAATATATTTAATTAGAGTTAATATTTATCTTCACTCTTTAGAGTTTAGACTTTCATTTCATTTTTGCTCTTCACCCCTGCGCCCCTATCACTTTCAGATCCCTCTCTCACTCGTCATTCTTCCCTCTCTTAGTCTCACTCTCTCAATTGTCACTCTTCTAAGTCATTTCAAACTCTTAGTCTCCTTCTCTCACTTATCATTCCTCCATTTCTCACTCGTCATTCCTCCCTCTCTCTTCATCTACACCTCGCTTTTCATCTCAGATTGCTTGAAAAAATCAAATCTAAACTTGAAAAATCAAATCTATACTTCAAAAAATCAACCAGAATTAAGTAATTCAAATCAACCCGATTTTTAATTCGAAATCAGCCCAAATTAAGTAATTCGAATTTAATCCGAGCTTGTCCAAATTAAACTCGGACAGTATTCAAGTTGAGTATCTTTGGTTGAGGTAGGGTTAGAGTTAGGATAGGGTTAACCTCTCAACCCTTCCGAGTTGCACCCCTAGGACGGAGGATTGATACCTAATAGTGCTGGTTTGAATCCCCCTTCCCCTAGTGTAGTACCACTCCGATAGACCCATTCATCTTAGTCGTATATAGTTGAATTTGTATGAATCCATTCATTAAAATTTAAAGGGTTAATCTCATTTTGTACATCGAAAGATGCTTTAATTTTCAATTTAAACATTTAAACATTAAAAATCTCAATTTATACCCCTCCAATGTTATGAATTAATAGTAATGTGGACTTGACCTAGATTGTCGTTCAATTTTTTGTCATAAATGAAACACGTGAGGTGCAAGTGTTTTGAGCATGAGGGCGAGGCATGTTCATTACTACAAATCTTCGTCTGCAATCAATTTAACATCATTTTGTGTATCAAAAATAGGATTTTATTAATCAGATAAATGTTAACCCTATTATGTACAACTTATATGAGACGCTAACAGTTAATGAATTTACACATAAACTCATATCCGAAGCACTTGTAACTCACGTGCTTCAAGTTATGAAGAAAAATTGAATAACAGTTTGGACGAGTTCTATATTATTACTAATTCATAACATTGAGGGTACAAACTAAAATTTTTAATATTTAAAAGTGTAAGTTGAGAATTGAAACATTTTTTGAGATGTAAAATAAGATTAACCCATCATTAAAGTGGTTAAACCGATCAACTCAAATAATACCACATCCACGAATGCTATGCTTATATTGGTAAATTTACATCGATTTATATCGAATTATCAATCGTGTTCAAATAACCAACCCTCAAGCATTATCAGGCAGAGTCATTGATGATTGAATCTGAATATTGTATGCGTAGTTGTGTATATTGTCTATGTACATATGTTTATAATAATTCATCCAAATGAATATAGGAGGAAATCTTAGTTGGGGAATAATAAAATTATAGGAGAGTAGGTGTAATAACTGATAAGACAAGCAGCAAGGCCAGGAGTTAATACCTGTCACCTGACATCCTTTCTAGGGCAGGTAAGAGGATACCTGTCAAGTACCAATGACCTCCTTATATTTTAATTACTGCATATAACCACAGTATGCTTTTATATATTTGCTGATTGTAGGCTCACTGTTAAATGACTATATTGCCCAAAGAGCAAATACCCAAAAAATAGTAAATAGAGTTGAAATCATGCAAGACCAAAGTTTGCAGTGCAATGATGTAGATGCTGGTATAGAATCTGTCGGAGGAGAAGAAAGGGGGGATTAGGGTTTCCAAGAAATTAGTAATTTTATTATTATTTACGTTCAAGCCCTCTTATGTGTCCAATTTTGATGGAATCGAATGCATTAGTGCGATCAATTTCTGTGTGGTCATATAACTACACAGTATTCCTTCATTGACTTTGCTAAGTATGCTCAAACGGTTATGGCAAAATGGTGTGCCTTTTGTCATTGGGAATAATTATGGCATCGAGTTTGGTACTGTATAAAAAATTATCATAAAATAAGAGTGAGATTATAATTTAATTTGGTGAAATTGGAACTCGATTTAGGTCAAATTACAACCCTAAAAGAGTAAACTACAACTAAAAGCTGTTAGATTGATTCTAAAAATTACGGTCGATTCTAACATACTAGAATTGATCTTAAACAACATCTTGTAGTAGCTTCATTAAATGAGCCATAATCTTATATTTATTATTCAATAACTTTAAAAACAATACTAACAAATAGTGATTCAGTAGTGTAATATTCTTTTCTTTTCCTCTCATATGTCTAAGAAGAACCAAATAGCATTACTAAACATAGGGTTAGGGGATCAGATTTAGGATTCTAGTTTGGCACATGACTAGGGTGTTTGGTTTGGTCTTATCAATTCATGATATTAACTAAGCAGTAAATGCATGACTGCATTTGCCAGAGTCAACTCTTGGTGGCACATTAGGAGGCAAACTAGGGAACTTGTAAAAACACAGTTCATTTAAACAAAGACCACCAAACCAGCATTAAAAACCTCTGCTATAGGGGGGTAGGAGAGAGAAGAGGATCAAGAAATGGAGGAGACATCAGAGAAGAAGGTTACACAGGGAACAACACTCTTTGATTGTCTTTGTAATCCTTGCAGTTTTGTCCATGAAGCTGTGAAGGCTATGCTAAAGTGTTTGGGTTTTGAATCTGAAACTGAGGCTGTGGACACTTCTAGTTCTTCAAGTTCAGATCACCAAGAAGACAAGAAGGTCACCAATGAACCAAGCTCCCAAGGCCAAGGGTCTTCTTCAACAACTGGACAAGCTATAGATCCAATTTCAGCAGCAGATCCAACAGTTGATCCACCTGTAAGTAATGAACACCAAATGAAAAATGAAAATCTTAGGTTGAGTTTTGTAACCGTTTTGTTTTTAATTTTTAGTTTTTGCCAAAAAAAAACAACAATGCGTTTGGTGTATGTTTTTGTTTTTTTTTTTCCATATAATTTGTTTTTAAAACAAGTTCCAAATTTACAGACAAAAAATTGATGCTCGCAACAACACCAAAACAACGAAAACACGTGCACGCCTTGGTGGGCTTTAATGATGTCTCCCACCTGTCTGGACATGTTTGTGTGTACACATACACATAGATTGGAGTATTAGTTGAACCGATCTTGAGTATTTTTAAGCTCGAAATCTTTGTTATTGGCTGAGCTCGAGAGCGAGCTGAGCTTAAATTCTTGTCAAATACTCATCTTGGTTGAAGTTCACGAGCATTCGAGCTAAACTCGAGTTAAAACAGTGCCTTTTTTCTCAGTAAAAAACTTTGAAAATTAAAGTCTAAAACTTCATAATCAATTTTATAATAATTAACCTCTCAAGAAATATGTATAAATGTACTCACCATAAACAAAATACTATAACTGTAAATTTTACAAAAAATACCTATCGAGGGTTGAGGAAGATAAAACGTAAGATATAAAATCATATGGTGAAATATTCGAGGTATTTTGTCTTTTATGGTACGGGTTGTTTTGTAAGAAAATTGAATTACTCGTATTCAAGGACATATTTGAGCCCAACTGAGCCTAATTTAGTTGAGTCACAACTTGTTCTCAAAACTAATATTAGTTAAACGAAGAAAAAATGAGTCAAACTTGAATTGTTTGTATCTTGTAACATCCCTATATAATTATATGTATTTGTGCTAATTCATGCCTATATGAACAGTCAGAAACAACAACTCACACTGATCACTAATGTACAAGTGTTCTATAACATTGTCTGATGTGATGCATATAGGAAGCAATGGCTTCTGGAATGCCTACAAGGCCACCGATTAATACAGGAAGAGGTCCTCAGACTAACACCAGCACCTCTTAGCACTTCTTCGGTTTTCAGTCTCATCTGTGTGGGTACTGCAGTATCTGTCACATATCTGAGTTGGGTTTGATTGCTTTTTTTTTTTTGTTCTTTTCCTTTTCTGTTAATTAATGTATGTGTAAGTATTAGTATTCTATAACCACTGTACATGTAGTGGGGTAAACATTTGATCTGAATTTTCTTAAGCTTCAATTAAACTTTATTTTTGGGAAATATTTGTGAGGTTCGGTGTTTTGTATCCATTGTGCAAAGACAGGTTGTAATTGTATGACGATATCTGAAAAAACATATCTTGAGGATGCCCTAAAACACTCGGAATGAGTTGGAGATCATGTATTAACACTATTTGTCTCATCATTTTGTAAAGGAAAGTAAACACTGCCAATAGCCTTTAAAAGGCCTCCCCCCCCCCCCCCCCCCAAAAAAAAAAAAAAAAACTGAAAAATGAAAATTCCAGTTATAATACCACTTTTCTTCACAAAAAATGATTAAGTCCTATGATAGAACAATAGTCATAGTTTTGATAATTTGTTCTCATAAAGTCATAAACTCCATCATAGTTAGTTTTGTACCAATTTTACTCCTCTCATGAAAACATTATTTACTGTTTTTACAATAATTGTATACCCAATTCTAATTTAGTTAAAATCATTTTTTCCATGTATCTCATAATGTCAATGCTTCTACAATTCCCTATGGATTTTGGCTACATTTGCTCTATATATAAATTATGGAATATTCCAACTCTCTAAAGATATAAAAATAATTATTTTTAATTATATGAAAATTAGATCTTAAAATATATGCAAAAATATAATTGATGTTTTCATGAAAGGGGTGATGATGCACAAAGTTGTCTATGCACGATCAATCAGTCGAGTGTGTAGTATAAAATAATTAATAAAATAGTTAATAATAAAAATACAAAGATTGAGTGGTTGAGTTTGGGTGACCTAACCACTAAAGGTGGTAACGGTGGCTGAAAAACTCTATTAATGAATGAGAGAGAGAGAGAGAGAGAGAGAGAGAGAGAGAGAGAGAGAGAGATAAATAGCCAGATATGAGGCTCAAGGTGAAGTGTTTGCCAGATCTACTCCTATGTATAGAGGGTTTATAATTTATAGACATAAAACCTTAGCTGTAATGGTGACATGAAGATCAAGTTACATATTTATTGGGAAGGATAGTTACTATTTGGGATAGACACTGTGTTGGAGTGATGGCTACCCCGATGATTACTCTCTCACATGCGTTGATTTTTCATGAACTCTTGAATTTTGGATTAGACTGAAGTCATGAGTTTTGGATTAGACTGAAAACATTAGTTAAGTCCTATTTGCCTTTTGATTTAGGCTTAACCTATGGTTTAAGTCTAAGCCTGGCCTAGATCTGAGTTTGTCAAAGGGTAAAATGAGAACAAAAACAAACTATAATGCACTTTAGGACTTAATGAAAATAAATGATCAAAAGTATGACTTAATTGTACTAATAGAAATATAATCAAACTTAATGGTTGTTTATTGGAGCGACCTATGCTTGACATCTAGAAGACTTGCCCTCGATCTAATGGCTATACCTCCCCTCACCACATGTAATGCCAAACTCTTGTGGAAATCACACCACAAATAGGATTGTCATAATTATATGATTAAAATCTAAAACACATCGATTGCAATTTTGCTTTGATTTGATCATAGAATCCATATGCCACATATTCCCCATGTTGTATCTATATACTAAAAGAATCAAATTAAAAGGGACACGACTTAAAACGTTTTTGCTCTCGATTTCATACAATCACATTTTGTGATCAACCCTCTGGCCTCCACCCTTCTCCCCACTAGTTAATGCCACTCAATTTTTTTTTTTTGAAGACATATTTTATTATATCATCCCATAATAACAATATACTTCTCTATCCAATAATCCAAGTCATGGATATGGACAGAATAGTCATTCGTTCTTTCATCTGCTCCTGATGCCATAGGCTCTGACGTAGCTTTGTTGAAAATCGGAAAACCTGGTAAAAAATGTCATATATCGCAACATTTTAGAGAAATTAATTCACTTTCAGATTGTGATTTGAATAATGGACAAAATTTGAAACCTAGCATTGAAGCAAAAGAAGTTGTCACAATCTCTGAGGAACTGCAGAAAGAGAAAGGAAAAAAAAAAGAAAGAGAAAAACTCATGCATTCTTTTAATAGAATACTGCCTGATCTCATAGAGCTGTGCAAAAACCGGTGCACGAAGCTCCGGTCGTTGCGAGATCTAAAAAAGATTAGATATACGCAGCATTCTCCTGGAATCAGAAAGACTGTTTTTACAATTCGAACCAATAATCTTCAAGTCAAAATAGAACAACTTTACGTTATGCCAAGGCGGCCCTCGTATCCTAGAGCTGTGTATGCATTTAAGATGTAGTGGAAAATATTAATTCCCCACCGAGGAACTAGCTTTTCTAGCTAGGCTATTATTATTAGATTGTGTTGGAGTATAGATAGTAGTCTAGGTTTATTAGGATTCCTTTTCCCTTTTTTACCCTTACTATGATTTTTATATTTTGCCTAAACTACAAGGATGTTTAAGTCACTCTGTATTATTTTTGGCTATATATACGGGACTCTACTTTGAGTTTGAGTATCCCTTTCACATATTCCAAGTTGGTATCAAAGCCAAAACCCTAGCCTCCATCTCTAAGCCTAACCCTAACCCTAACCTTAACCCTAGCCTTCATCACCTTCCCAGCAGCCACCATTCCACAACCCAAACAATCTGCAACAGCCTGCCCAACCTCCAGCGCCACACCCAGGCCACCAGATCACCGACTGCCTGCCAAAATCATCTGCCTCTACTACACCGTCCAGCAGCCCCACCGACAAAACCACACACCAGCCTCCCATCAGAACCAGACCACACCGCCAGACCCAGACCAGACCAGCGACCGACTGTTTCAATCCAACGCTACTGCTACACCGTCCAGCAGCCCCACCGACAAAACCACACACCAGCCTCCCATCAGAACCAGACCACACACCAGACCAGACCAGCGACCGACTGTTTCAATCCAACGCTACTGCCCACCCCACAGCCTGCCCAACTCTGCCCACCGACTGAAAAACCCCACCGACTGAAAAACCCCACCGACTGAAAAACCAAAACCGAAACCCGACTGAAATCGAAACCACCGACTGAAACCGAAACCACCGACTGAAACCGAAACCCGACTGCCCAGACCGCCACACCGACTGAAACCGAAACCCCACCACCACATAACCGCCACCACAGCAACATTGGTTACTTATTTATACCATCGACAAATCCACTCCATACCAGCCTCGACCGTCCGACCTCTAGTGCACCAGAACACAAGGGTAGCCAACGGGTCAGCCACCGACAACCCGACTGGCTGCTCACTTATTTATACCAAACAATATATAGATCACTTATTTCAACCAGCCCACTGTTCATTAAACTCATAGTTTTGTGTTGTTTTTTGTGCACTTGATTATTTGGGACCATAAGACCTTTAAGAGGGGTTGTGATTTTATTCTAGGACTTTTTTGGGAGGGAGCGGATCCTCTTTTCTGTTGATCTGTCCTTAATGCAGTAGATCACTTATTTATATATTTTGGATTTTTGGGCACCGTGACTTGATTATTTGGGAGCTTTTTTGGACCTTCCCTTTTTGTCGCTACTGTTCGACTGAAGGTATATTGTTCTCCCTTATTTTATTCCTCTATTTATCTTAGAGTTATTTTTCTGTCACGGGTGCCCTAGTATTGTTGTTGATATGACTAGTACTGAGGGACTTGAGAACCCTACTGTTGACACCTCTACTGTTGAGACATCTATGGGTACTTCCACTTTTATGTTTGACCAGTATACAGTGCCTACTAGCACAATTGCATTACCAGCATTACCGGGCATGATCTCTCAAAAAGTTACGGCACAATTGTTGAATGGTCGTAACTTCGCTGAGTGGTCACGCTCATTCCAGCTTTTCTTAGGCCATGTAGGGAAGCTTGGTTGGCTGACGGGATCTCACCCAAAGCCAGCTGATGCCGACCCTGGATATTCTGCATGGTTCTCTGAAAACTGTGCCATTCTTGGATGGTTATTTGGCTCAATGGAGCCCTCTGTTTGCAGGATCCATCAGTTTCATAGCTCTGTTCCGAAGCTATGGAGCGCATTATCAGAGATGTATTCTCAGTCAGGACGGGGAGTTCGTGTTTATGAGCTTTCTCAGGAGCTCTCATATGCTCGGCAGGGAGATATGACCGTTCAGGATTATTATGGCTATTTGACCCAGCGCTGGCTTGAGTATGAGTCTCTACGTCCTCTTGCTGCTATTCCGAAGATAGAGCCCGAGGGAGCAGCATTCTTGCATACTCGAGAGCAGGAGGATAGGATTCACAAGTTCCTTATGGGGCTTCGTGATGAGTTTGAGGGACCTCGTTCTCAGATCTTATCGATGTTGACACTTCCTTCTCTTTATGAGGTGTATGGGATGATTGAGCAGCATGAGCGTCGAGTCCGTATTGCATCACTTCCAGTTGCAGCTTTGCCTCCTTCGATTGACCAGATGGCCCTTGCAACTGCTGTAGGGTCCCGTTCAGGATCCTTAGTCAGGGATAGGCAACGCTCAGACCAGCGCCGTCAGGGCGCCCCAGATCAGCGCAGACGGGGGGATTCCCGTCAATGTGATTATTGTGGCCGACCAGGACATCTCAGGGCTACTTGCTGGAAGCTCCATCCAGAGCTTAAGTCACCTTCTCGCAGTCGTACTGTTGCTATTGCTGAGGTACCACCGCCCACTACCGCCACTCCTGCTACTGCTCCTCCTTGGCAAAGTGATATGGATGCTATCACTTCCCGATTAGATATACTTATGTCTGCTCTGACTTCTCAGAGTCTGACTACTGCTGCTGTCACCACTACAGGTATATCTCGTGCCTTTCACGCTTGTGCCAGTTCATCTCCCCTTTGGATGTTGGACTCGGGTGCGAATGGTCACATGACAGGTGAGGCCCATCACTTCACCACTTTTGACGAGCCGTTACATACACAGGTTCAGTTAGCAGATGGAACACATGCCCCTATTGTTAGTAGGGGTACAGTCCATCTCCCAGATGGCCTTACATTACATTCAGTTTTTCATGCGCCAAAGTTGGCCATGAATCTATTATCTGTACATCAGTTAGCCAGAGATTTTCACTGTGCGGTTGTATTCTTATCTGATTCGTGTTATTTGCAGGACCTGAGTACCAGGAGGATTATTATCAAGGGACATGAGAAAGATGGACTGTATTATCTTGGCAATCCATCTCCAGTTTCACCAATTCCTTCACCTGCACCTGCTTTGTCTTTTTCTGTTCCTAGCTTGCATGCTAGTATTTTACCTAGTAGTTGTCGTTATGATTTTTCGCCACAAACTGTTCAATTGTGGCATGACCGTTTTGGACATACAAATTTTAAATATTTATGTATGTTGTTTCCTGCTTTGAGTAATGCTTGTGTTGGTGGTAAACTTGATTGCGTTATCTGTTCCCTATCAAAACATGTTAGGGCCAATTATATTCCTCGCATGCACCAGTCACCCAAGCCATTTGACCTAATACACTCTGATATTTGGGGACCCTCTCCCGTTACTGCTCTGTCAGGTGCCAGATATTATGTGACATTTATAGATGATCATACCCGTTGTACTTGGGTCTACCTTTTGCATAGGAAGTCTGATGTGCTCCCTATAATCACTCAGTTTTTACAGATGATTAAGACACAATTCGATGTCATTGTTCGTGCTCTTCGTTCGGATAATGCCAAAGAATATGTGTCTGATGCTTTAGTGTCTCACCTTTCTTCTCAGGGTATCCTTCAGCAACTCACTTGTCCATATACTCCTGAGCAAAATGGTGTTGCTGAGAGGAAAAATAGGAGTTTGATAGGGATGGTACGTTGTCTGCTTAGAGGCATGAGGGTACCAAAATCTTATTGGCATTTTGCTGTTTTGACTTCTACCTTTCTGTGCAATCGTACGCCGAGTCGTGTTCTTCAGCATAAGGCTCCCTTACAGGTCTTATTTCCTGAGCGGACACTTTTTCCGGTCCCCCCTCGTGTTTTTGGATGCACATGTTTTGTTCAGGATCGGTCTCCTACTCGTCATAAACTTGATGATAAAGCGATTCGTTGTATCTTTGTGGGCTATTGTCATCAATCTAAGGGGTATCGCTGTTATGATCCTATTAGGCGTCGTATGTATCACAGTCTAGATGTTACCTTTCTTGAGCATATTCCTTTTTTTCCTTTCAGTCCTTTGTCTGCCCCTCCAGTTGATGATACTCCCTTTGATTTCCCATTACCACAAGAGTCAGAGTCATTGATCACTATCCCTACAGGGTCATCCGTTTTTCCTCCCAAGGAGTCACTCATCCCTGTCAGTACAGAGTTACCAGTCTCTCTTCCTTTGCAGGTGTATGCTCGTTGTCCTCGCTCTCATCACCCTGCTGATATCCCCTCTACCTCAGGCGATGCAGGTAATACTTCTCAGTTTGTTGAGCATATTGATGCACCTGTTGTTAGTACTGATGAGATTACAGGTGCTGAGCCAGTTACTTTACCTGATAAGATATTATCAGTAGAGGATGGTGATTTAGGGCGTCGTTATCCAAGGCGTGATCGCCGTCCAGTTGATCGATATGGTTGGACCGCCAAGATTTTATATCCGATCTCTGCTTATGTTTCTTATGGTAATCTGTCTCCCACATTTCAAGCTTATACTATGGCCTTATCAGATACGCTGGTTCCTCGCTCTATTTCGGAAGCTATGCGGGAGCCCCAGTGGGTTCTTGCCATGCAGACAGAGATGGACGCTCTTCAGCGTAATCATACATGGGATCTTGTCTCCTTACCTTCAGGGGTGAAGCCTGTTGGCTGTCGCTGGGTTTACACCCTGAAGTTTCTGGCAGATGGTACTATTGATCGTTACAAGGCTAGACTTGTGGCGAAGGGCTTTACTCAGGTACCAGGTCGTGACTTTGGTGCTACATTTGCCCCCGTAGCAAAATTGACTACTGTTCGGTTAATTATTTCTCTGGCTGCGGAGTACTCTTGGCCTCTTCATCAATTAGATGTGAAGAATGCGTTTCTTCACGGTGATCTGGACGAGATTATTTATATGGATGCACCACCGGGCTTTCGTGGTGAGGGGGAGTATGCTGGAAAGGTATGTCGACTGCGTAAGTCTCTTTATGGACTGAAACAGTCGCCACGAGCCTGGTTCTCTCGCTTCAGTGATGTAGTCATACGATTGGGGTTCACCAGGTGTCATTCTGATCATACCTGCTTTATTCGACGGAATACTTCTGGACAGTGTGTCATCCTTCTGGTATATGTTGATGATATTATTATTACTGGTGATGATGTTTCTGGGACTGCGCAGGTCAAGGTAGACCTTGGGAAGGCCTTCGATGTGAAGGATCTTGGATTTCTGCGATACTTTCTTGGGATTGAGGTTGCCCGTAGAAGCAGAGGTATTGTTCTTTCTCAGAGAAAGTATGTTTTGGATCTTCTTTCAGACACTGGGATGTTGGGGTGCAAACCGGCATCATCACCTATGATTCCAAACCTGAAGCTTACTACTGAAGGTGAGGAGTTGAAAGATCCGACAGTTTATCAAAGATTGGTAGGTAGACTTATCTACTTAGCCAATACTAGGCCGGACATTTCATTCGCAGTCAGCCGAGTTAGTCAGTTCATGCATAGGCCATGTCAGCCTCATCTTGATGCAGTTTATCATATTCTTCGGTACCTCAAGTCTTGTCCTGGACTTGGGTTGTTTTATGCATCAGGATCTCAGACCGGTTCTCTAGCCTGTTATTCAGATTCAGATTATGGGGGAGCATGTGATGGTCGATCTACTACGGGTTTCTGTGCTTTTCGAGGGACTCATCTTATCTCTTGGAAGAGCAAGAAGCAGGCAGTTGTCTCCCGCTCGTCCGCAGAGGCAGAGTATCGGGCATTGGCACTTGGCACATGTGAGATTATCTGGCTACGATCGATTCTTGACGAGTTGGGTTTTTCAGTGACCTCTCCATCCACATTATATTGTGATAATCAATCTGCTATTCAGCTCGCTTCTGACTCTGTACTACATGAGAGAACGAAGCATATAGAGATCGATGTTCACTTTCTTCGGGAGAAGGTCAGCAGTGGTCTTGTTACTCCATCGTTTGTGGGGACCAGTGATCAAGTTGCGGATGTTTTTACCAAACCTGTCACTCTGTCTATTCTTCGGGACTCCGTTGTCAAGCTTGGCTTAGTTGACATTTTTGCGCCTAACTTGAGGGGGAGTGTTGGAGTATAGATAGTAGTCTAGGTTTATTAGGATTCCTTTTCCCTTTTTTACCCTTACTATGATTTTTATATTTTGCCTAAACTACAAGGATGTTTAAGTCACTCTGTATTATTTTTGGCTATATATACGGGACTCTACTTTGAGTTTGAGTATCCCTTTCACATATTCCAAGTGATTGTACTGAAGCTCTGTAAGATGGAAGCAATATAAAGAGACTCATCATCTTCCCTGGAAGAACTCATCTCGATGTCACATTGGTCGGCCTCTTCTAACTCAGCGGTTGGTGGCGGCAGCGGTGGCGGCGGTGTTGGTGACAAAGGGGATGAAAAGGCTAAAAATGGGTACTGAAAGTTGGTTCGAGCTTTTACAACACCACTAAAAGAGATGGATGAAAGATCATAGGCCAATGCTGCTTCCTCGGCAGTGTCAAATGAGCCCAGCCAGTGTCTCTCTTTGGTGTGTGGATTCCGGATCTCTGCCGCGTATCGGCCCCACGGCCTCCGGCGTACTCCTAGGTACCTTGTGGAATGCCTAGAGCTTCTTCTTCTAGGGTTTTTGCTGAATATAAGTGCAAGGTTTTCCATATTGCCTGCACTATAGAACTTGATAAAAAAAAGGTGATTGCAGGTTTAGAGTGGCAAAGGGTGGGTGGTAGGCTTTGTAAACAAAACCCAGTAGGAAGATTTCAGTGGCTCTTAAAAATAACATTATGGACAAATTATACTTTGACCCCTTCAACTATTGAGTTTCTCCCAGTAGCTCATCAACTATTGAATTGGTTTCACATTGTCCAATTGAGTTTTACAATACAAGTTTTTAGTGTTTCTTATTGGGGTCAAGTAAAATCAACGCTCTTATATAATTTGCGGTGCAATAAGAACAACCTAAAAATTGAGGGACAATGGAAAATCAACAATTTATAATATAAAAGAGGACACACTTTAATAAATTCATCCGACGATTTCAAATAGACTCATCCAACAGCTACTAACATCCTTATCAAACTATTCATATTATACCGTGCTTTCAGGCACTGATTATCCCTAATCATATATAATTAAAGGTGTAATGAGAAAAGCGCAAGAATTTAAGGGGGCAATATGGAAACAATAACTCTAGTTAGAAGTACAATAAGAAACATGATATTCGAAGATCTAATGTGTGATAAAATGCATAATGAAGGGGTCAAATTGAAATTTACCTTAAGATAATAGAGTATGGATGCGAAGATGTTACTAAAAATTAGTTTAATTTATTCAAAGTGGGGCAGGTGAGTAGGATTGCCCACCATAGCATTAAGAAATTCAATGTATATAGTGATTTGTTTCTCTAGTGGCTGTTTCTTTTGATTTTCATCCTTGTTTTCCTCGCAAATGACAGAAATTAGGGTGAGCACAATGCGTAAATCCCTGCACTTCTTGTTGCATTCTTACTTGTTGGCACAAAGGATTAAAAATTTTGTCTTCATAGAACATGTCGAAATATTTTTGTTTTAAACAAAGACTAAAATAAATTAATAGTGGAATCAAAATTCTAACATTTCGAGATGTTTTGAGTTGTTTTAGAACCAATATTTTTGAAAGGTTTTGAAAATAAACTCTCAAATTTTTTATTCATTTTCTTACTGTTTTCGAAACGTTTTTAAACTATTTTCGAGACGTTTCTAAATAATACATTGGAATAAAATTTTGTTTCTTGGTTGCGTTGACACCTATTTCTTCTCTATATGTAACTTAGCAGTCAATCTAAATCCAACCCAAGCCACATTAAGTAATTATATTGAGATTTTTAATATCCAAATTGAATTTGGACAAAAGTTTTCAAAATGATTTATTTTAGGTAATACTTGGCTATTCAGGATCCAACCCAAATTAGTGACTCGGATTGAAATCAAAATTTAGCTCGAGTTGTGTAAAACTAGAATCAAACCAAAATCATTTGATTTTGGCCGGAGTAGAAACAATATTCCAAGTCGAGTTCAATCAGAGTTTTAAGTTTAAGCATGAATAAATATTGAAGTTTGTTTTAAGAATTTTATAACTTAAGTTGATCTCGGATTAACTTATCAATTTGTCTGAATTACACCCCTAGTCTTGGTTTTTTTTTTTTTTTTTGATACAACGGTCAACAATATCCGGGCCAATTTAGATCTACTCTTACTTTCACATTCCTCTATGTGACAAAAATGAAAGGAACGTGAACGTGTGCCCAAAATTTAAGAGAGGAAAATGTCCATGTTACTATCTTAGGGCTGCAACTTAGTTGGATTCAATTCGGACAAGTGGAGCCCAACTTGAACTTTCAAGAATCCATCCACAAAACTGGCCCTTAGAGATATATAAACTGTGGGTAGAATGCAAGGTCAAATTAGTGTTGTGATCTGTAGGGATAACAATTTTTGACATGAGTCAAAAAGACTTAGTGGGAATTTGCCATGTATGGGAATCAATGGAGCTTTGTAGTTCTTGAAGTTGAAAAAGGAGAGGAGATGATGATGAAAATCGTGACACTCATAGTCCTACAAGAAAAGTGAGTAACTTTTCATTTCGTTAACAATCCTAATTCAACTTTTGTAGACGCACATGAAGACGATGGTGAAAAATCGAACTTAAAGGTTGCCTTTTTCAAAAAATTGAGAGAAATGAAATTTTTTTTTAGCTCTCTTATTATGTGAAAGTATTGTATTCTTTTGTTCTGAGTTGTGAGTGAGGATGAAAATTTGGTGTGTTACACCTATTGATAATGTTTTTTTAATCTTGTGAGTTCGGAATACACAAATTTTTTGAATTTGAATTCTTTGAAAAGGTTTACTTTGTTGAGAGTTTATTTTGCATTAGACGAATAGAAATATAGATGGATTTGATGGTGGCACTTGTCCTAATGCATTTAAATGGATTGTTGTTTGAGGTCTAAATGCATTAATTGTTCTTCCCATATGGAAGGTCATTGTTCATTCATGCGATTTTTTTTTTCATTTATAGTTGAAAATTTGGTTGCTGTTATAAAATCCCATTCTTACGATATTTCAAAAAATTTGGTAGATGTTATGTGTATACTGTTATTTTTTGAATCAGTGAGCCCTTAACTCAAATGCAGAGATTTGTAAAAGACCATATGTATCCAGTGTCAACAGCTTAAAAGAAACTTTCGAGACTAGATTTTGAGTTTATTGTTATCATGTATTACTATCACTATTGTTTCAGGAACAGTAAAATTTGAAGCATCAACTTCAAATGGTCATCTAACAATTAAGGTAAGCGAAATGTGTGCATAAGATAATTAAGTAGCACCCAAGTGAGTTTGTATGTCATATGTATTGGCCTTTCAGTCGAGGGTAAGACTTAATTTAATTAAAAATTTTCATCCACAGAATTCACATAGATCTTTTTTAATGTATCATTAGTATTTCCAGAATCAATATTCTCATGCCGAAAACACAAATAATTACTAAAATGTATTATAAACTTTTGAATAATCAATATTTTATGGAAGTTGTTTCAGGTTTCGTGGTTAGTAGCACGTGATGTATATATACATAATTTACTACTGATGAAGGTTGAAAAACCAACAATGATTTATTATGCACTTTATTTTTTTACATATCATTTTGAAGATTTGATTTGCCGTGAGTTTACTTCAAGGTCATGCATATTATTGTCCTTTCAAGGTAAAACTTGACGCACTTGATATAAAAAAGTCATTCAATTTTTCATTTGGTAGGGATGAATCTTGCCCATCATGTTGCCTATGTGAATGATGATGGTTGATTTTTTTACCAGGATTGAAATATAGAATTAATTTTATTTAAGATGTAAGGAAGCAAATTATAAGAATACACAAGAAATTATATATGTTTTTGGCAACTCAAAAAGAGAACTTAGAATAATTCACATGCTACATCTTAATCCATTGGAAGAGATTGTTTAACTGTTTTTTCTTAACTCAAATGTTGGATATCCTTTGTTATATTTTAAGTAAAAGGGAAAGGTAGGTCATTTTGTAGATTTGTCTGCAATACTAGCTGAACATTTTCAAACATTTGTTAAAATTTGTATTTATTTTTCTTTTCATAAACAATATTAATTGTATAGCAAGATTGTATCATTGTACAAATTCATTTTGAACTTGATGGTTCTCTTTTTCAATATAACTCGATGGTTCTCTTGCATAAGCATTATATTGAGAAACCTACCTCTTGTATTTTTGTTTTTATTTTTCTATGTGCTTACATGTTCTTGGGTCCTTGTATTTATGTATGTATATATTTAATACTATGCATAATACAAACTAAAACCTACAAAGTACAAACCCATATTGTAAAAACTAAAACCAAAAATAAAAATATAACTGAACATAATTCACGTGCAACACATGTGTACATTAACTAGTAATAAATAAGTTTGTGTTAGTATCAAACATAAACAATACGAAATTGACACAATTAACATATTTAACTAGTATTATAAGATAAAATAATAATTTTTTTTATCAAGTATTTACATAATTATGTTAGACCAAAACAGTTTTTTAAGTGTAAAAACTCAATTTTTGGTCAACCTTGAGTCTAAATTAAAGTGAGACTCATTCGTTGTTTTGAGTAAACTTTTGTGGATTCATATTCTACTCCGTAAGAAGAATAATATAGTATATTCACTTAATCAAATCAAGTAAGAAATGAATGAAAAAATATACTCCAAAGTGACCTTGATGTGGAAATAAAAGTTATGCAATGTGAGATTTGACACCAATCTCACATTAGTTGAGGAAGAAATTCAACATATACATATATAAGCCAAATTTGCTCTATGAGATTGTGTCCTATGGGGTACAACAATTTTATAAAGTAGAGCGAGCGCCTAGATGCATTCGGTTCGACCACACCCACGTGCGTTGCCCGCCCGCCCGCCCGCCACACCACGACCCTATCGGGCCGGGCCGGACCGGGCTCGGGTGTGGTTTAGACTAAGCCTTATCTGTTTGAAAAAAAATTCGTTTAATTAATTGAGTGATAATTTATTTTATCTTTTGGGTTGTGACTTTTTGTATTGTGGCTGTCTGAATAGTCACCAGAATGTCTAAATACTCAGTTCATGCATTCATTTTTTCATATTCATTGTTCAGTCCATTTTTGACATTAAGACATACATTAGTGCATTGCAGTCTGCGTTTCTGCATTAAGGCAATGTGTTGGAGAGTACACAACATAATTTTTGACTCGCTGGACGAGTAGATTGGAGTGTTACTTCTGCTCGTGTAAAGATCATTGTATCTTGGGAGGCAGACGGTCAGTATTCCATAAGCACCGTATGTGAGGCGAAATCTGTCTTAAGGACATAGTATCAAACACTAACCTTAACTTACTTCAAATTCTGTTTTTCAAGCAGGTTAGTATTTATACTAGTTTGGCAAAAAGTTAAGTGTAACTCTTTCGTGTAAGACTATTTTTGTGTAATAGTTTCACACTTGATTGTTATTTTTTGTTATACTTACATAGTTCAAATCAGAAATTTTAATTAATAATTTTACAATATTTGGAATACAACAAATTATTATACAAAAAATGATATTTTTACTCATTTTTTTTATTAT